ACCTCTCGCGAGGCTAGATGGCCGGCCTTTCTCGAACGTTACCTACTTTACTTTATCATGTTTATTTCCCATACTTTGGCCTTCACCTTCACTTCTAGAAGAATTTCGAAGGGCGCCACGGATAAGTTGTCCGCATGAATGGGGATCATAGCGGGCGTGGTATACGCTGGCCTTGCTAGAAATAATGTACAGGGAATTGAAAACATGGTCGTCTCCAACTTGTCGGCCTCTGGTTCATACTTGTCTAGTTGGCAGAAGTTCGTTGCTTTGAAAGTTTGCGTTTGTGGTGTTGTGAGAAGTTATTTGCGTTTATTTTCCCGTCTCTCCACTCTGTTTCGATTCTCCTGCGTGTCGCCCTTCTCTTTCTTCACTGAAGGTGCTCTCGTATCACTTGGAAGTCCACACGTGCTCGCAGAGGAGGCAGAGTCGCGTTGGCGGAGGAGAGAGAACGAGCTCGGTGTGGCGCAGTGCATGGCTTGGCGGGGCAGCTCGTGCGGCGGCGGCGGCGGCAACAACATGCTGGAACGTGCAAGGATGAGGGAGGCAGAGCAGGCGTACACCCTGCTAGGGATCAGCATCAAATGATTATGGCTTTCTCATGCTTGTGGAATTATCTAAGAAAAGTTAAGGGTAAAGGTCAAAATTAAATTCAACGCGGCTAAATATAGATGTGCTTGGTATCATTGATATAGCCAAGTTTTAAAATTTCAAAAAGAAAAGTATATATTTAGTACGTACATACCTGAAAAGTTTGCCCGCAAGACATACCGAAGCTACGGAGATGAAAGGAGCTGCAGGAACACCCTCCACCACTGCAGAAGTGCGAGGATGAGGTCAAAGAAGGTTCCGAGCAGGACGCAAGGCATGGAGGGCGAGAGAACAGGGCTCACTGTGGTGACCAAGGGCATCGCCACCACGAACACCCCAGGAAACACATCGACCGTCCTCAGAGGAGGCGTGGTAGGAGACTAGCGGAGACGCCCTCCCTTCTGAAGGCACAGCTGGGCCGGGCCTGCGTCCCAGGGCGTGGTCCAGCCTTCAAAAAAGAGACCCGAAGTGTGGGCATGTCGACGGTTCCGGCAGACCCAAAGGACATGGAAACTCAAAAGGCTCAGGAGAAGCTCAGGCACATTGAGTCTTTGGGAATCATCAAGATCGAGAAAGATGAGGTAAATCTCGGTAACTTTAACATGTAAAATAAAGCTATTATAAAAACTGGGGCTTGGTATCACATTCAAGTTGTTTCTAAGCTTGGGCAGTTGTAATCCAGGTCACCTCTTGTCACTCTCTGACCCACGACGTTTCTCGGCTGAGTGTGCGTGCAGAGTGAGTCCTTATTCAACACGGGAGAGTCAAATGGTGACGTCACACACTGCCACTGTGCCGGGCGAGAAACTATCGTACAGGAGGTACACATGTAAATAAGTTTCATTCAGCTTTACGAGTAAACAAACTTCGCGTATTACTACAACCGCAACCGTTGCGCGACACATGTAGCGTGAAATAATGCTCGAAACAATGTTTTTTTTTTTTTTCTATTAGAGTATATTTTGGTATTGAATTTAGTGTAAATTTCTGAAGCCCAGGTATTTTCTTGTTCAAACATGAACTGACAAGTTTTGTAGTGATTGTATTTTCTTGCTAAACATCTGTATTTTATAATAGAACATGAACAATGGGATCCAGAGAGCGAAATTCGATAGGCTATTAAAGTTGTAAGATATACATTGACAGCGGAAAAGCGAGATAAATAAACATTCCGCAGGGAATTAAAATTCTCCTACTCCTGCCCTCTCGCACCTCTCTCTCTCTCTCTCTCTCTCTCTGTCTCTTCTCTCTCTCTCTCTCTCTCTCTCTCTCTCTCTCTCTCTCTCTCTCTCTCTCTCTCTCTCTCTCTCTCTTTCTCTCTCTCTCTCTTTCTCTCTCCCTCCCCTCTTGTCCCTTACCTTCCCTTCCTTCCTTCCTTCCCTTCCCTTCCCTTCCTTCCTCCCTTCTTCCCCTTTTCCTTTTCTCTCTCTCTCTCTCTCTCTCTCTCCTCTCTCTCTTTCTCCTTCTCTCTCTCTCTCTCCCTTCTCTCTCTCTCTCCTCTCTCTCTCTCCGCCTCTCCCTCTCTCCCCTCCCTCCCTCCCCTCCCTCCCCTCCCTCCCTCCTTTCCCCTTTCCTTTCCTCTCTCTCTTCTCTCTCTCTCCTCTCCTCTCTCTCTCTCGCTCTCTCTCTCCTCTCTTCTTCTCTCTCTCTCTCTCTTTCTCTCTCTCTCTCTCTCTCTTTCTCTCCTCTCCTCCCCTCCTCTCGACCCCTTCCCTTCCCTTCCCTTTCCTTCCCGTTCCCCTTTTCCTTTTTCTCTCTCTCTCGTCCTCTCTCTATCATAGTCTCAGCTTCTCTCTCTCTCTCTCTTTCTCTCTCCTTCTCGTCTCTCTCTCCTCTCTCTCTTCTCTCTCTCTCTCTCTCTCCCTCTCTCTCCTCTCTCTCTCTCTCTTCTCCCTCTCTCTTCTTCTCTTCT